GTAATTTATTTTTAAATGGCTCTTTTGAGAACAGAGCCTGTACATTAGAAGATCAGTTGGGAAGCTATGACTGTCAAGTATTAAGGTCAGTAGAAATATTTATACTATAAACGGGCTACACAGTAAAGGTGTCCATGTGGTGAGTATATCTCATTTATAAATGAGTTTGAAGGCAGGAGGGGCCTTCAAGATAATTTACAACAGTGATTTCAAGTTCTAATGGGCACATCCATCACTTGAGGGTGATGTCAAAATAGAGATTGCAAATCTCATCTGCAGTGGGGCCTGTGATTCTGCATGTCACACAGATTTCCAGAATGCATCACCGGTTGGAGATCCTATCCTGAGGAGCAAGGATCTAGCATCCTTCTAATTTTGTAAATAAAGAATTGGAAGAAAAAGGTGAAGACATGATTTTACCCAGGGTTTGCGTGCTTGGGTGGTAAAGGACCTAGACTATTAAGGGGTAAGACATTGAAGGGTAAGACAGAGCAAAAAAAAAAAAAAAAAGAGGACAAAGAAAAAATGTCCATTAGGAATAATTAATAATTGCTAAATAATGGTTTCACAAATTTCTTAAAGCTAATAATGTTCCAACATCTCTATCACTCACAGCCAACGAATGTAGGTAACAATTGTGTTCTAGTTCAAAGTATCTATGGCCATTGTTAACGTCTTTGGTATTGTTCAGTTGTCCTTTCAAAGGTAACCAAGGCAACACCAGGTAATTGTAAATTCATAATTGCTGACAGTAGCCCACGTATAGTGAATGCTTACTTGGTGGGCCCACTAGCCAACTATCCCACAGGATCTTTGTAAATCCTGTTACTTTGGTTTTATTGTTATCTCACTAGTCCTACCGATGAGAAAATTGAAACACAAAAAAACTAGACAAGCTGCCCAAAGTGGAGCTGTGACTATCAGTTCTTGAGGTTCAATTCCACAGTTTACAGCAGTTTGGACCTGCTGCTTTCAAAGACGTTTTTTGAAAATAGGGATCTGATTGGAAGATTCAAAGAAATGATAATTTATATTCAAAGAGAAATAATAATTTTATAAGAAATTTAAGAAATAATCTAAAGTAGAAGTAGGTCAAAGTTATTTCTAAAATCTTTCAGTATGAAATGATAGCATCTTAAAATGTATACGTTATGTGAATAAAATAATTGTATTTATCATTTTCTATTTCCCAAATTTAAGAATCAACTTGTGATAACTGAAAATTGGAAACTAGAATCCCCATTACCATATTATGAAATAGCACTTTCAGATTTTACTTTCAGTTGTGTTGCTGAATTTGTCAGATAACATAAACTACTAATCTTTGCTTAAAGTATGTAATGATCATGCTCCACAATTTAAAACCTGTATATATTGCTCTAGATTTGAGTATTTGTAGTATTAATTCTAAGAGGGCCTGTGTGGGACTTTATGCAGATGAACTGAGTTTTAAAAAATGAGAGAAAGTAATATTTTGATTTGCTAGCTTTAGATGAGTAACCTTTTGATTTTAAAAAAACTAAATGTTTGATCTGTTTTATAAGAAGGATTACATTTTAAACAATTAAACAATTTACTGATAGATTTAACAAGTAATTTTAATTTCTTACATTTTGAAAGTGAGTTTGCATACGTAAGACACATCTTTTATGCAAACATGCAATATTTTATAAAAATAAATACATTTATCCTGTTTCTAAATCAAAGGATAGTTGCAGTGTTGATTGACATTATGGGTCTATCACATAGTATAAACTGTGATAAAGGATTTACCCGCTAATTGAATAAAGCATTGGATACAGCATAATGAATACAGAAAAACCTTGTCCACTTACCCAGTTGCATTTCTTCCTGCCATAAACATAAATCCTATAAACTGTCTTTTGACTTGATCTTTCCCGTTTTTTATTCCATAATTTTCTTTTATTTAAAAATACTATATTTTGATTTCAGTAATTCTCTCTATTCCCCTCTCTTCTTCTTTATCTTATTATTTTATGGTATACTTCTTTCTTTTAATCATTACTTTTTGATTAACTCGATCTTGCATAGTCTTTTAAACTTGTCCTCAGTCTTTTTCTATTTCATTTTTAAATCTCTCTCTGATTCTGTCTTGTCCTAGTCACACTCAGCTTTCATTTTGGCATTTTGCATTTTCTCCACCTCACTCTTCTGTGCAGTGAACTCCATACTGAAAACAGTTTGCTATTAAGTACTAACTTAGTGTGCATAAATCTTCTGGGAGACAGTAACATTAATTTTCTCTCTTGGGTACTTAGGGCCACCTCAAGAAGACATGACCTTTTATTAGATCTTTCTAAATGGGTGATGTAATATCATTTATACGTGGAACCTAAAAAATAATACAAATGAACATATATGCAAAACAGAAACAGACTCATAGACATAGGAAACAAATTTGTGGTTACCAAAGGGGAAAAGAAAGCTGAGAGGGACAAATTAGAGGTATGGGACTAACAGACACAAACTACTATGTATGAAATAGATTAGCAGCAAGGGTACATTGTATACTACACCGAATCATAGCCATTGTCTTATCATAACCTATAATGGAGTATAATCTGTAAAAATACTGAATCACTATGCTGTACACCTGAAACTAACATCATATGGTAAATGAACTATCCTTCAATTAAAAAAAAATGGGTGGTTTCAGATTCTTTTCAATCATTTGATTTAAAAAACTAAATAGTAAAGTTACTGGATGGAAAAGAAATATTTCTTTTGGTGTTAAATGTGTTAATATGGATCTTTTGTTTTGCTGAGAGCTCCTAGCGAATGCACATACTCAATAAGTTCAAAGAATTTGTAGAAAACATTTTAAAGCAAATTGAGCAGAATCCAATTAGACAAATAATCTTAAGTTAAAAGAATTAAGTAATGTAAAGCATGATGTAACTATAAATTAAAAATTAACTCAGAATAAGAAAATTAAAAATGTCCTTGGCTGTCCATCACACTAAGATAGGAAAAGAAAAAGACAGCTGTAAATACACTTGAAAATAATTTTGCCCATGGACAAGTTGTATTTATAGAGCATCATAACATCTTCCTTCTTTGAATGAGTAGTGTTCTCTTACTGACTGAGAAAGGTTCCTCTTTATGAAGTTTTCAAAGATTTTCCTATATTAAATTATATAGGTAAGAATGAACGATGTCACCTTTCTGGGAGTACTTAATTCACTTTGACATGGACAATCTCACTTTCCAATAAAGATCCAGAGCTTCAGATAAGAAGTTTCTGGACACAAAATTCCTCATGTGTGCTAACTTTATGCTTCTGAGGAAAAGAACTTTTGGGTCCTGTTTACAGTCTAGATATGATACTGACTGTTTACATGGAGCCTTGCTTTGTGCCTATAAAACCCTCCTTCATTTCAATTTCAAATCTTTCACCTCTTTGGTCAGATTTATTCCTAAATATTTTTTGGATGTGATTTTAAAAGGGATTGTTTCTTTACTTTCTTTTTCTGATATTTCACTTTTAGCCTAAAGAAATGCTCCTGACTTCTGTATGTTAATATTGTATCCTGCTGTCTTGTTGAATTGTTGTACCAGCTCTTGTAGTTTTTGTGTGAAACTTTTAGGGTTTTCTGTGCATACTATCATGTCATCTGCATATAGTAACAATTTTACGACTTCTCTTCTGATTTCTCTTC